CCCGGAGCCGACGAATTCGTCGATGGCGATCGGCGGGTCCGAAGAGGGGAAGAACGGCGGGGCGGCGCCTCGGGGCTTCTCCGGTCGCGTGAGATGGCGGGGAGGGTGAGGATGGAGTGGCGGAGCTGGTGGGCTAGTTGGGGGAGCGAGGGAGGCCCTGTGGCCGAGCGATTGGTGGACGGCGGCGACGGCAGCTGTCGGGCGCGAGAGAGAGAGATCCAGGGGAGAGGGTGAGGACGGGGGAGAGAGTGGCGGGGCGTCGGAGCGATCCAGACGGCTCTCGCGGGTCTGTCCGCGGCGCCACGCAAGCTAGCAGGCAGGAGGTGGCACGGGCGCGTGTGTGCACACGGCGAGCACACGCTCGGTGCCCTCTGGCGCGGTGGAGACGACGACTGGCAGCGCCAGTCAGCTGGGCCAGTGCAGATGGGCCGCCAGGTAAGTGGCCCAGGTGACCCTCTCTCTCTGTGTCTTTTATTTTAATTACTGTTTTCTATTTCTCTGTAACTGTGAGGCTTTATTAAAAATACTTAGGCATCTCTAAAAATCCAGAAAATAATCAGGGGCTCTGTTTAGATTATTTCCAACAGCCCACACTTATTTTTAGAATTATTTGGGCATTTAAGATATTTACTAGCATTTAAATGCCCAAAAGCAAGGTACATATGATTTTATTCAGTGACCAAATATGTCATGGAAAAAATGTGCAACCCTCTGGTTATGGTTTCAAGCATTTTCCAGAAATGATGAACATTTTTGGAAGCCATTTGGATCACTGAAAATATTTTTGGGTTGAACCTATTTGATTTCCATTTGGTACTAGGGTTTAGGCAATCCCCATTTCAAATTTCATTTGAATTTAAACATGATGCAGCAACCAAGCTAGTCCATGGCCAGGGTAAAGCTAGGGATGTGACACCCGTGGGCGCCGTTTCCCTCCTTGGAGGCGTTAGTATGGGCTGATTCTCCCACCCCCCCTTCCCTAAGTCTCCCGGGCGAAAGTCCAAACTTTGTTGGGTGGCGGCGACGCTCTCGGCGCCGTTCCCTTCTTGAAGGCGCCGCTTTGGGAGCCTTGTGGGCAGGAGGTGCTTGTGGGTGGTGGTGGCGGCAACGGTGTGGCCCTCCCGTCCTAGCGTGAACTCCCCTCCTCCGATGTTGGATGTGTGCAGCGGCGATGTTCTGCTCAAGGCGAGCCTCCGCGTCCTGTTGGTGATGCGTTGGCCCTCTTTATGTGGCCATCTTCTGGCGGCATCCATCCCATCTTGCGACGGTGTGGTGCCTTCGATACAGGCGAGGAGGTAGTGGCCTTCTTCGAAGATGGTGTTTCAGATGTGTCGTGCCGGGGCCCGTAGGTGCATGGCGACGGCATGCCCCGTTGGTGTCGGCCCCTCTCTCCTTTGAGCCAATGTGTTATTGTTCCTGGTGCTGCAGCCTCCGAGGAGGACCTTGGCGTCTTCGGCTTGTGAGTAGTTTGGTGTTTATTCATCGTATATGTATCTTACCGTCGTGTTGTTCTTTCCTTTTTTTTTTTGCCTAAAAACGTATGCTTGTAATCCTAGCCAGTTGATGGTTTTGTTAATTCAAATTCGAACTAGGCTTGAACCACATCTCGGGCTCGGCTGATGCCTTTTCTCTGAAAAAGTTTGGATGCCAACCAGAGCCGTTCCGGTGCAGCGTACGTGTGGAGCGATCCATAAGAAGTGACAAGCAATCAAAAGCCAACAGGAAGCGCACAAGAATCCGAGTCAGCCATCACGTTCATGCATGCACCTCAATCAAACTGCTCCATTGGCGGGAACTGCATGAGAACCGGAAAAACCATGGGCTGGTCTGATCCAAGAAACACCCTCCTCAGTCCTCACGTTGCATCGCAACCTTTCTCCGCCTCAGATTCTCCTTAAAGTTCTCCTGGTCGGCGCATGCTTTTCCAAACTCTGTTTGTGGACGGAATTGCACCTCCGGCTCAGCGTGACAACACCAACTACAACCAAACCGATCCAGCACCAGCACTAGCACCAGCTTTTCTTGTCTTTGTTAAATTGATTGATCCGGGTGTTGTTAGCTCGTGTTCGGCCACAGGACTAGCCGAAATGACGCCGCTGGTGGGCCAGGGAGCAAGATGGATTCTTATATGAATGAATTTGGATCAAAGTCGGTGCTGGACGGCCCTCCGAACCAACCAATTACAGGGCAATCATTCACATAACCTCCACCATGGAATTTATAAATGAAGCAATGAGCTCTTTTTTTAGCGAAAGCTTGGTCTCCAAGGGCCCAGATGCCACGTTATTCAGAGAGCATCCTACACTGGACCCCTAGTAAAAGAGAAACAACAAACCAGTCCCTGACTATTACATAAAGGCCCCCGAAAGGCAAAAGAAGATTGCAGTTGGGTCCTTGACTGCTTCCGCATGAGCGTAACCTCGTGGTCATAGCACCACACCATAGAGTTTGTACGCCAGGGGGTGGAAGATCGACTGGCCACCTTTAGCAAGAAAAGCAGATGTGCCGACAGAGACAGGTGGCTGCCGACCACCACAGTGAGTGTCGTAGCTCCTTTGCGAAATCCATCGATCATGAGCTCCTTCCCTATAAACAACAACCAGAGCTCCGCCTTTCC